TTATCTATCTGTCTATCTATCTATCTATCTATCTATCTATTTATCCATCTCTCTCTCTGCCATTCCATCTATCTATCTATCTATCTATCTATCTATTTATCCATCTCTCTCTCTGCCATTCCATCTATCTATCTATCTATCTATCTATCTATTTATCCATCTCTCTCTCTGCCATTCCATCTATCTATCTATCTATCTATCTATCTATTTATCCATCTCTCTCTCTGCCATTCTATCTATCTATCTATCTATCTATCCATCCATTTATCCATCTCTCTCTCTCTCTCTCTCTCTCTCTATCTATCTATCTATCTATCTATCTATCTATCTATCTATCTATCCATCTATCCATCAATCCATTAATCCATCAATCCATCTATCCATCTATCTATCTATCTATCAATCCAGCCATCTATCTATCCATCTATCTACCTAACTGCTCATCCATCCATCTATGTTTCTAAGCACAGCTTACTTACCGAAAGCCTGTTACTACCAACACGTAGCTACACTAACAATTAAATAAATAAATAATTAATTAATGCCCGCTAAATACGTAAATATAATGGACGTCACATCGTTCTATCGAGAATACCCATGTTGTGTATACGCTAGCTAAGGTTAATAATAATAATTCTATTATTATAATATGTAAATATTTCACAATGACGGAGAGCTGTATACGAGGAAACGTTCCACTTAATACGCTGTCTATATTCAGTATAAGAATAATATTTCTGTACACGAGCTAGCTAGGTAGCTCAGCTAGCTTCAGGTGTTTACATGTAACGCTGCCGCTCCTTGGTATGTGGCCTTGGCCGATAATCGCTCAATCGTTGCACGAAACTCTTTCGACGTGTTGATTCTCCGTCTCCTCGGCACGTCTATCCGTTTAAAACGAAACGATTAATGGCACTGGAAAATAAATTACCAGATATACTGTAATTATCATATACATGTACGTTATATGTATACGTTAATATATATATATATATATATATATATGTC